TTTCCTCAAGAGAAGCCAGTTTCCTCCCTGCTCCCAGCCCAGTTCATCACAACACAGTATCAGCAAGATAACTGCAAAGTCACTGCCAGCTCTTTACCTGGGTAAGTGTCTGTACATGGATAATATTAATGAGACGGAACAGAAAGGACATTCTCATGGACATCTGGGACATGTACGATAATAGGCGGCACTCGGACAGGACTTCTGCAACTGCAGCGAGAGGGGAAAAACAATCATCAGGTGCTGAAGTTAAGACACATCGGTCCAAGCACTACAGCAGGAAGAAGTGGTGCTCAGGCTGTAGCAACAAACCTGCAGACTGGCATTTCTCTGTCTAAACCCAACAATTTTAAAGCTCAGACTTCAAATAACCATTATCACTATCAAACACCCCCTCACCCCCCCCCAGTTTCTTATTTTTTACCTTTAGCATCAGACTGATTCTCAAATCGGTCCAGGGACAGTGTAATGCAGCGAACAAGCATGTTTGAGTCAACCAATGAACTGTTGATCTGATTTAAAAATATCTGGAACTAAAAAGAGGAAATACTTTTTTAGTGTTGCATTAAAAAAAAACAACAACAAAAATCCGACATGGACACTCACAGAAGTCTGACAGAACTGCATTTCATGCCCTTTTCAAAATGTGCATGGCCCAGAGGTGCCCTAAGCCAATTACTCTGCTGGCACAAGGGGAACAGGTCAGTGAACTCAAGCAGGAAGAGCTACCAACAGGGTTTGGCAAGTAAGTGTTCTCCAGATTTTCAACACTGAAAGAGTTCAGTTCTTGAAGGTTCCTGGAGAAACTGCCTTGAATTCTGAGCACAAGCTGCTAAAACATGCACTTCAATACAAGGCATCACAGCATGGACCATTTCCCCTGAACTTCAGAAACAAGAGTTTGGTTCTGAATGCCAAAATACTCAGAATCATTACTTTTTCTGTTATCTCTAACAAGAGTTAAGAGGAGATAAGACACTCCCAGGCATGCATCATCCAGTCCAAGCCAATACTGGCACAGAGAGCTAAAGGATCCCTAAAAACACTATGGAACAGAAAAATGTCAACCAGAGAAAAACTAGAGTAACATAAGCAAAAGTCTGAGGTCATTCAAAACCTACCCACCAGCTGATGTTATACACACAAAGTGCACGAGAACGTGAAACCACTTTGCACAGAGCACTGACTGCTTTTGATCTACACAGGCACCAAGTTTTATAGGTAATTACATCAGCCACGACTTCTTAAAATGTCTACAATAACATCAAAGGTAAGATATGCCTTTTCAGAGTATCAAATATTAATGACTATTTTAAGTCATCTCCATGAAGAACCCCTTCCAAGTTCCAGTAACAGATTTTTTGAAGGCTGTCTCAATGTCCACAGCTATCATCTGAACCCCAAACCCTGTGACTTCACAGGAGATGTTCTACCATCTTTGAGCTCTGACCTTAGACCTGCCTGATCATGTAACAGAGCAACGTTTCCACAACAGCTCAGTGCTGGCTGACACAGAAGAGCTGGGAGCACTTCTGAAAACATGAGTGTACGCACAACATACATGCTTGAAGAGATTCTGGCAGCTCACTCCTTAGTGTTTACTGTGCACCAAGCTCAACGATCACACCAAAATCAGCAAATGAATCCCAGTCTCTTAGTGCCACCTTTGGTTATAAGAACACGTAATCTGACCCACTGGGGACAGATTTTACAAATATTTACCTTCTCATCTGTGTTGATGTACTTGTTGAACCTCTTGAATGCATCAATATTGAATTTCATGAGTTCTCCCAGAAGGTCAAAGTAACTTTGAAGCACATCTCGTGATTTGCACTCACTATCAACAATGCAGTAGAGAATATGCTGGCATGGGAGGAAAACATGTTATTGGCACAGTTTAGCCCAAGCCAGCAGTACACACAGACTCTGATTTAATCACTATTTCAAACATTTATCTGCAGCTTTAGTTCTTAGAACTAAAGACAACAATTCAGATGAATCTTCTGTTCAATTTACTTCCCAGTGATGCAGGGTAGAGAACTGGCCACCCCACACCTGGCTGCCACAAGCACAATTCACAAATACTTTTCAAGAATTGCCCTATTCCCAGGGAGTATCTAACACTACATTTTTAACCCCTTTTGAATTTTTTACAGATAAATCCTTCTTGACTGTTATAGAGATATGTTACAGAGGAAGCCTGACACAGCCTTCATTACCTCCAGGAGTCCTCTCTTTAGCAGAAACATCTGGTCTGCGTAAGAGGTGGTGCCTCGCAGAAAACTTTCAACTGCCCTTGCCTGCCAAAACCTGAGAAACAGAAGAAATAAGGTTTTAATTTTGGAGCAAGGGGAATATTTTATCACAACTATAATTTAAATCAAATTTCCTAATCAGTTGCATTCCAGTCTAAAGCTGGGTTCAGACCTGTTGATCCCACTGACTGTCCTGGGTACGAGTTCAATGCAAGCTTTGGCATTCTCTCTCACCTGCACTGCCACTGTGGCCAAGTGCAACAAAGCCAGATCTTTTCACAGCTTATGATTTTCAAGCCTTTTCAACTACTGTAAGCTGTGTAACAACAAACAGACTTCCCAGTCAACTAAAAGCAGCATGTGAAGAGTGCAAAGTGAACCAACCTGAAGGAGGATTCAGCTGGTTCCTTCTTCATGACCTGCAGCAGCCTGGTCAACAAGCCTCTTTTCCCATCACAGACAAGACTCCTAGAGCATGTGAAGAAATTACAGAGTGAGTGGAAGGGCTGGCAAGCACTGCACCTGTAGAATACTGAAGTCTCTTCTCCAGAGCTTTTAATGATCAAAATCCCAGTATTAAATATACAATACAAATATTAACTTCCATTACTAGTTCTACCAGTGGAAGAGTTCTCCTCACTGCCTTTAGTGAACGTCTGCAATACCTGCACCATGACTTCCAAATAAATCCTAAAGAAAAATTACTCATTTTCTCTCAAAATTTTAATGACTTCAGAAATACCAATTCGCAGCTGGTAGGAATTAAGGGGTAAGAAAAAAAACATATACCACATCTGAGCTTAGGAATGAAAGGAAAACATGCCTTTTTTTCTCAAACATAAAGGAAGCTCTAAGTTCCATTTAGGAGGCAGAGCAGAGTATGGAAACTAGCAGCAAGTCCTCTGGACTTGTTCTAGCAGCTAGAACAAGTCCAGAGGAGGCCACCAGGATGATGCGAGGGCTGGAGCACCTCTCCTGTGAAGACAGGCTGAAAGAGTTGGGGCTGTTCAGTCTGAAAAAGAGAAGGCTCCAGGGAGATCTTATAGCGGCCTTCCAGTACCTGAAGGGGCTACAAGAAAGCTGGGGAAGGACTTTTCATAAGGGCAGTTAATGACAAAACAAGGGGAAATGGCTTTAAGCTGAAAGAGGGGAGGTTTAGATTAGATATTAGGAAGAAGTTCTTCACTGTGAAGGTGGTCAGACACTGGAACAGGTTGCCCAAGGAAGTTGTGGATGCCCCCTCCCTGGAAGTGTTCTCGGCCAGGCTGGATGAGGCTTTGAGCAACCTGGTCTAGTGGAAGGTGTCCCTGCTGCTGGCAGGGGGGTTGGAACTGGATGAGCTTTAAGGTCCCTTCCAATCCTAACCGTTCTATGATTCTATGAAACCTAGATGCTACACGAGGTAGTTGCCTTCTGTATGTACCAGGAGAAGTATTGAGGCTGCAGAACTGCAATACTACTTGTATTAAATAGCTTCTTCAGTGGAGTATCTGCCTACAGCAACCTCGTGCAGAAGCAATGCCTTGACCTCCTCATGCATCAAGAAACACAACATGAAAATGAAATGCTAAGAGTGGAAACCATCCTGCAGAGGCAGAGTACGATGCTTCAGGCGGCACTCTTCTACCCAAAAACTACCCCAGCATGTGCACTCGGCAGATGCACCCAGGTTAATGACTACACACTGTATCAGCACCCTCGCTGGGCAGCCAAGAGCCAGTGGACAGAGCCCTTGTGGGAAGTGGTTTACCTGCAGCATGACAGTGTGTTCTTACTAACACGAGAGAGAGAGGAGTAACTCTGCAGGTTAGAAAAAGCTGTTTACGCTCTTGATCCTTTCACTGTGCTCCTAACAGAGTAAATTTCCCCCCCTAAATACTTACACCTTTAAAAAAAAAAAAAAAAGCCAGAAAGGTACCTGTGCTTAGAGGGAAAGGATCTGAGTAATATAGACACCATTTCTTCCCAATTAGGCACAGTATTATGATCATAATTATACTCTAGAAATCCTCTTAGATAATTCCCTTTTGAAGTGAGGTAAATCTGCTCTGCACAGAACAAGTCCCTGCTGATAACTGGGGGGGGTATTCTGACAACTAAATTCTGCAACCAGTGTTTCACCTTGTGAGGTCTGTACATCAGAATTGTGTATTAAAGAGCTTATTCAATCAAAATAGTCAATCTAACAGGTACTCAAATGTAACACTACAGATTCTGTGAGTGTTTTAACAGGTTAATCTAATTTAGCTTAGTCTAATTATTAGCTGCTCTTAAAATAAAGACTCTGAGTAGACACACTTAGATCTGTTTATGCAGACTGCAAATGGACATCATGTGTGCACAGACTGCTCCTGAATCTCAAAACTAAGATTTAGCAGTAGCAGCAATTAACGAATTAGAGGGATCTCATTTTGCTTTCCAGGTTGGTCTGCAATAACCGTAGTGAGAAAGGCCAGACAGGCAGGCCTGGCACATCGTAATGAAGCCAAGGTCATGAACTCAAAACCTCCATTTTAGGTTGCTTTTGTTTTTAAATTGCCTTACTTGAAGCACAAGCACATTTTAGATTTGCTAATGACCACGAACATCATACAAACCTAGACACTTCCTGCT